CGAGACCATCCCAAGACGGCCCAAGAGGCCTAGGCGCCCAAGACGGTCAAGGGGACCCCAAGACGGCCCCAAAAGGGACCCAAAAGAGGGAACACGAACCGAAAATCCAGGCCTTCCGCCCCAAGAAGCCCCCAGGAAGCCCCGAGAGGTCTCCAGGAGGCCCCAAGAGGCCCCCAGGAGGCCCCCAAGAAGCCCTAAGAGGCCCCTAACTGGCCCAAAAGAGGCCCCAAAAGGCCACGCCCAAACTGCCTCCAAGAAGCCCCCGAGAAGCCTCCCACGAGATCCCAACGAACATCCCATAGGCTTCACACCCACATTTCAGGAACGGTGGCGGGATGGGCCGAAGTCCATGAGATCCGCCGCCCCCTGCTTGCAGGGGTGCACGGCGTGCTGGATGTTTCAGGTTTTGGTTTTGGTTCTTTTTCCAAAAGAACTCCCCAGTGGGCTCCGGCAGAACCCGCCGGCCACCCGGAATTTCCCCAAACGTGCTCAACGACCGCAAAAAATCCTCCAAGAACGGCCGTTTCGCTCGGGACATCCTCAAAAAATCGCGAAGATGGCCCAAGATGGCCTCCAAGTCCGCCCGAGATGGTCCAAGACGGCCTCCAAAACGGCCCAAGAGAGTCCAAGACGGCCCAAGACGGCCCAAGAGGCCCCCCAGAGGCCTCCCAGACGGCCCAAGAGGCCTCCAAGAGGTCCTCCAGGAGAGTCCGAAGAGGCCAAAATCATTGATTTTCCCTTGGTTTTTGAAGGATTTTGGCATTTGCGCCTTTTCGGCTCTCCGACGGCTCAAGACGGCCCAAGAAGCCCCCAAGATCGCCCAAGAGGCCCCCAAGAGAGCCCCATGATGGCCCAAGTGGCCTCCAAGATGGCCCCTAGAGGGCCCCAAGACGGCCCAAGAGGCCTCCAACACGCCCAAGATGGCCTCCAAGACGCCCAAGATGGCCTCCAAGACGGCCCTGGAGCGCCCCAAGAGGGTCCCCCGTTGGCCCAGAAAGGCCCCCAAAACGGCTCCCGACGGCGTCAGACGTGCCAGGAACCCACCAAGATGGCCGAAGTTGGCTCGAAGCTGGCCCAAAAGGGCCCAAGAGGCCCCCAAGAGGGCCTCCAGGAAGGCCAAAAGATGCCAAAATCACTGATTTTCCCAAGGTTTTTGATGGATTTGGGCATTTCCCTTTTTTCGGCCTTCCGACGGCCCGAGACGGCCCAAGAGCCCCCAAAGATCGCCGAAAGATCGCCCAAGAGGCCTCCAAGACGGCGACGATGACCATCAAGACGCCCACGTGTTCCCCGAAGGCTTTCCAAACCGATTCGGGGAACACATGGTCCGATGGCTTGGCAGGTCTGGCCTCAACGTTCGGCCACATAGGCGCTTCCACAAAGGCAGGGGGCGGCGGTGATTCGCCGTAGGCGTCTTCGATCCGCCGCCCCCTTTTGATTTATCAAAGGGGTGCCCGGCGTGCCAGATTATATGGCTTTTGGTTTTGGTTCTTTTTCCAAAAGAACTCCCCCTGGGGCTTCGTCACGTCCCGCCGGCCACCCGGAAGAGATGGTTGCAAACGGTTTTCCTGCCCCAGACGGCCCCAAGATGGCCTCCAAGACGGCCAAGATGCCTCCAAGACTGCCAAGATGGCCTCCATGACGACTCAGACGGCCCCAAGATGCCTCCAAGACGGCCCAAGATGTACCCTAGACGGCCTAAGATAGCCTGAAGATGGCCCCAAGAGGCATCCAAGAGGTCCTCCAGGAAGGCCCGAAGAGGCAAAATCATTGATTTTCCATAGGTTTTTGAAGGACTTGGGCACTTGCGCCTTGGAGGCTTTCCGACGACCCCAGACGACCCAAGAGACCCCCAAAATCGCCACAAGATCGCCCAAGAGGCCTCCAAGATGGCCCCGTGGCCTCCAAGACGGCCCCAAGAGGGCCCCAAGACGGTCCAAGAGGCCTCGAACACGCCCAAGATGGCCTCCAAGACGCCCAAGATGGTCTCCAAGACAGCCCGGAAGCGCCCCAAGAGGGCCCCAAGTCGGCCCAGAAAGGCCCCCAAGACGGCTCCCGACAGCGTCAGACGTGCCAGGAGCCCACCAAGATGGCCGAAGGTGGCTCGCAGCTGGCCCACGACGGCCCAAGAGGCCCCCAAGAGGGTCTCCAGGAAGGCCAGAAAAGGCCAAAATAATGATTCCCCGTAGGTTTTTGAAGGAGTGTGGCACTTGCTTCCTTTCGGCCTTCCGACGGCCCGAGACGGCCCAAGAGCCCCCAAAGATCGCCGAAAGACGGCCCAAGATGCCTCCAAGATGGCCCCAGAACGGCCCAAGAGGGCCCCAAGACGGCCCCAAGAGGCCCCCAAGACGGCCCAGGAGGCCTTTAAGACGCCCAAGATGGCCTCCAAGACGGCCCTGGAGCATTCCAAGAGTGCCCCAAGTCGGCCCATAGAGGCCCCCAAAAAGGCTTCCGACGGCGTCAGACGGACCAGGAGCCCACCAAGACGGCCGAACATGGCCCTACATCCCCAGGCCGAAAGTTTTTTCCTCTTGGACTAAAAATATGAGAACATCAATGGATCCAATTGGATCCCTTTTCGGGTGTGGGGGAGTTTCGTGGATCCTATTTCTGTGTTGCGCGGATCCAGTTTCCAGCGTGTGAAAAAACGATGGATCTATTTATT